GTATCACAAATGTTATCAAATAATTATCTCATTTTGGTATCAGAGCATTGAGCTTACATCAGTGTTCACAACACCGCTGTGGGCACTGCCATTTTTTGTCGGTTGGCGCAGTGCTCACAACGAAGATGGTAGAGAGAGGGTCTCTGGTGAAGATGCTCTCCAGCAGCGGCGACGACAAGTCCATCTGTGAAGGGAAGGTAGAGAGAGACGGTATAGAAAGATAGAAGACAGAGGAAGATGGGAGAGAAAATGATTAGGGCAGAGATTGTGTGTATAAATTAATTTATAGCCCTCCATTTTGAAGTAAAAAAAATGCATTTCAGAATATTGATTTTGGGAAATGTGCGATTAAAAAAGAAGAAAAAATTTTCGATTTACGTGTAAAATTATTTTATTGAAGAATATGTGGTTGAAAATAAATTTTAGAAATATGATTGTTTAAAATAATGTGGCTCAAACAAGCTCATAATAATATTATTAATATTAAACACCTGATTAATTCCACTAGTGGGAACCCTGTTACTATTGTTGCACTTTGACACCACCAAGTTACAATTTGGCCCACTTTGTCACCGTTTGTATGTCCAATTAAAATTACAACAAAAGTCCAAAATCCCTTGTCACCACCCAATTAGAACGACATCAAGTGTAAGTTAAAATTATCAACCGTCTAAAGTTTGAAACTCTTTGTTACCTCTGGTACCTACAACTCGTAGCCCATGTTGATAAATTAAATTTGGGAAAAAACCATGCTACCTTACAAATATATAAAATTTGATTTTATACTATTTAACTAAAATTTAAACTGAAATTACTTAATCACTCAAAAATACAACCAAAAATATTGTAACCAAGACTCTCTTTTTTCACCCATATCCGAAACTGTCAAGGCACAATTGAAACGGATGAAATTAATTGAAAACGCTGAATACATGGGAGTTCAAATTCAAATCAATAATAGATTATACGACAAGAGAAACAATGGTGACAGTGAAGAAACATTCTCTACGTCTGTGTTAAAATGGCTTCAGGTAGAGTTTCATTCTGGGTTATATCTCTATTGCTGACCTCCGTTGAACAGATTCACGTAAGAAAAAGAGTATTCGAACTCCTTTCCATTAAATTGTATTTGTATTGTTTAAGTTAGCTTACATCGAATTTTTTTTTTAATATCCTGTTTTAATTGATGTTCCTGAATTCATCAAAAAATCTATTTCATTTTATAAAAGATGTGTGTTGTTTTCGATTTTAGATTCTTGATTACGAGAAAATTCATTTTTGTCTTCCTGATGAATGGAAAATCAGATTATTACAAAATATAAAAACAACTAATATGTTGTTTACATGATAACGTGGTTGTATCCATCTTCTACAATATGTATTCCTCCATGAAAGTACATCAAAACTTATATTTCGACCTCCATATCACAATCTTTATATCGTTGATTAATATATCAAATATATGTGTTTTTTTGAATCATTTTATGCTTGATGTTACAACTAGCTCAAACTTTTAAAAAAAATGAATTAAGTTAGGCACTGTTTACAATGTGAAGTTCATGTACGGATACTTCTTGTGTCTGACTGCAGTAATTGATTTCATGTGTGTTGGAAAATTATTTAATTTGCCATGTGGGTCGGTATATGTAATTAATTGTATAAAATTATCTTAAAGTTAATCCCAAAATTAAAGTGATCTAATAAAGAATTAAGTAATTAGGCTTTGGACATTTAAATAAAGTGTGTGTCAGATTATATGTGTAGCGATTGGATTCATTAGAGTTTGTATTTGACGATGGACTGAATACATACGAAAACTATATATAAGGTTATGGTCCAAATTCATATGCAATTTCATTCTTTATGTCATCACATCAACACAAGAATACAAGAGAAAGTATATTGAAAAGGAAGATGCAAAACCCAAAATCAAGAAGAAGAATTAGAGCAATTAAATCGAAAAACAAGACAACCAAGATTATGGAGTAAGAAGCAAAATCAAGATCAAGAACTCAAGAAACAAAAGAGTCAATAATCTAAATTCAAGATCCGGAATCAAGATTCAGTAATAAGAAACTATTCCTAAAAAATTAAGATATGTTCCGCATTATTAATTTCTTGATAATTTGACATGGAGGATCTTGACAATTAAGTAATTAGGTTTTCTAGTTTTATAAGGTTTAAAGTTTCATAAAATTTCAACACATTTTCCTTGTGCTAATTGATGCTTTTCTACCTACATTCCTTATCCAGAAGGAAAAAGGGTATAAGCGATAACACGTGGGCTAACTTTTAGCATACATACGGATATTTAGTTCAAAATTTTATATTTTATATTTTTATTCTTTTTTAAAAATACGAGGGATTTAAATATTTTTATTATATGTCATCAGGAACAAAATGTGCTAACTTATGGAAGTTTGAAAATAAGAATATAATGAAAAATATTGAAAATAAAAATGTTACCATTAAAATATATTTAGAAAAAAAAAAAGTTGTCAATTTCTAAGAAATGGTCTTTTACCTGCTTAAGCTTGTACGTCTTAGTAAATATTTCGCCATTGAGGTAATTTGATAAAAAAAAAAACTAAATATCACAAATTAAACTATTTGTTCAACAGAAATAACTCAAAAAGAATGAGGTTCCATAATTATCATAGACCATCGTTTATCAAAATTTCCTTATGTTAGGTTTCTAGTTGTATTGGCAATTCTTTAGACAAAAGGATTATTATAAAAGAACATGATTGTTACAAAGATTTTTAAAAGTCAATGAGCCTTTTGAAGGGTCGAATAATCCTTGAAGGAGTCTAAAATATTAAAGAAGATCATGTATGATCAAGATAATGCAATTAGAAGTTTAAAAAGTGTAAAAGAGCCGTACAAGTTATGTTCCAAATTCTCAATCACAACTTGCAACACATTTTGTACATAGAAAACATTGGAATTTGGACAAGGCTATTTCTAGATGAATTATAGCCTTTTGAGTTAAATTTCCAAATCATTTTTAATCACCTCAATCGGATATCAGGAGATAACTTTATGATAACAAAACTGAAGATGACTTAGTTGTTGCTCGCATGTCGCTGGCTTGGCGCTAGAGCGACGGTCGACATTCAAAAATCTATTTTGCTTCAAACTCTTGGTTTTTTAAACCATTTTCATCTAGAACACTTTTCCCTATATATATCTTACCTTATGAACGTCCAAAAGTGTGATTTGTCATTATTTTACACCTTCATAACATCATTCCAAGATTCAAGAACACATTCAAATCTTGAGATTAACATTTTGATTCTTGAGATCAATAAATCACGAGTTTGGGAAAAATATTGAAATTCTTATAATACAAAACACTCACTTCCTAGATATCATCAAGAGAGCACTTTCTCAATAGCCTTCAGAAGTTGCTGAAGTTTGAGAGATGTTGGACCAAAAGCACATGAAGAATACAAGAACGAGGCATTCTTAGTGTTTCATATGAGATAGACAATTCCAGAAGATCGGGAGCAGGCGTGAGTGAAACACGTTCCAACGAGTCTTGGAGATTGTAAGAATCAGATCAACGAGTCTAGTGGGTTTTTTTTAGGCTGGATCCTATTATAAGTTCTTATTGTCTATAGTGGAAACTAGTGGTTTGGTTCCGGCGTTTTTACCTAGTTGAGAGTTTTCTCTGTCATCAAATCTTGTATTATTTACTATTTTCATCATTTATTGCGGCAATTCAATATAGGATAATTTGACTTGATTGACTAAACATGTAGAACAATTAAAAAGTGATTTATTGCTTTTAATTGATATATTTAATTCCGAGTTATTCACCTATTAGGTGATTTTAGAGTTGAACTAGTAACTTTCACCTTACATTTAGGCATGCAAGAATTTGAAGAACTCAAACGTGCTGGAATTAGGGAATATGTAAATTTCATCTGCGGAACTTACAGTATCTTAATTAGGTCACTAAATTTAAAAGCATGTTTGGGTGATATTTATAATTAGTTTAAATTATAAATAAGACAAAAATGAGTGGTGAATAAATAGATAGTACTTATAAATACTATGAAATACGTGAACAAAAAGTGCGTAGATCGATTATAAAATGATCATAAACGAACGCCAAACAAGGGAGAAAGTTCCAAATCCCATCACCTATAATCTTCCGAACAAACTAAAATTTATTAGTTGGCAATCGATCCGTAATGAATCTTTCATGTAATGGCTACTAGCAACATAGAGATTTAACACATTTATGACATGGCTTTTTGGTACGTTGATATGTCACGTAGAAGATTTATATAGTATGAATGTCGAGAGCTGCTTGGGGTACAGGGTGGGGGTTCACAGAACCCCTACCGATACCTCACAATAGGGGGATGGGTGGGAATTTTTGGGCAATTTTTTATTACCATGGGTCTCGCATGGGGTCCACCAATGTGAGTGTAGGTAAAACTTCTGTAATATTATTTTTTGTACATTTGGCTTTTTCCATGAATGTCAATTAAGCAATTTTCGTCAATTTAGGCTATCCAGGTGGCAAAGAGGTGAAATTTGGAAATAAAATCGAAGTTTATTAATTTCGATAAAATATCAGTCACATTATATTTTCATGTGTAAAATGGCGTCTTCTCGACTTGGCACGAAAGATGAACGTAGTCACATTAAATCACTAGGTATCAAGAAAAGAGGATTGTAAAATAATCATTTTCAGAATAACAATCATGATTGATGAACCCACTTAAATTTCCACCTCTAAAATAATATTTGTGCTAAAATAACGAACATTTTCTCTAATCTTTTTGACTTTACGTGCCATTCTTGACTCCCATCTGCACAAAAGTATATAGTAATTGAATTATACCACGTTTCAACTTTAATTTGATATTTATTGCCTTTGTAATAACCACAAACCCCACAATCTGATCATGGAGAATTGTGGAACTATATTTGAATCTTCATATTCAACTACTCCGCCTGCACCTTCTAATTTTTTCCTGATGAACATGTTGAATACTAATCCGCAACAAACTGAGTTCCAAGACAAGATTAGCTTAGTCAAAGGGCCAGAAACTGATGAGGAGAAATCGGGCAAGAAGAAGGGCGAAAACAGGCGTAGAAAATTGCCTAGATATGCTTTTCAAACAAGAAGCGAGGTTGACATATTAGATGATGGGTACCGGTGGAGGAAATATGGACAGAAGTTCATCAAGAACAACAAATTTCCAAGGTCTGTTACTTCTTTTCGTTAAGTTTTGGAGCCTAATTCATTAAGGATTGTTTTGGAATTTATGTTTGAATTGGAGTCCTAATTATTGTCAAGTAAAGAAGCCTAATTCTTGTTCAATTCTATCAAGGAATTGGGATCCTAGTAAGATATACTTTGCCCTAATTTATCTTATAAATAGGGGGTATCGTTAGACTTTATTATCATCAATCAAATAGAAACAGAAAGAGAGGTGTAAGATAGGAGTGCAATTTTCTCTTGTAAATTTTTTATTTTATTATAGTGAAACACTAGAGGAGCGGGAGAGGGCGTGGTCTTATATTGAGACAATCTCTATAAATCTTGCGTGCTCTTGATTATTTATTTAAATTAATTGCTCTCGGTGAAATAGAATTTATTGACGCTTTTATTAGTTTTTAAAATTAATTAGTATCAACAATAAATTTTTTGTTGATAATATCAAATACTTTTTTGAAAAATTGATTACTTGGTATGTAAAATTTTTAAAATCTTTTATTTTTTTAAAAAAATTAATTAATATCAAGAACGAATTTTTCGTAGGTAATATGAATTGTTCTTCACTTACGAAGTATCCGTTGGGGTAAAAAAAAAATTGACGACCATTCAAAGTGGATTGTTAGTAGGTGATCTTTTTTTTTTAAATAGTTTTTAAAACTGATCAATATGTAGGTAATATGAATTAATCTTCACCTACGAAATTTTCGTTGGTGAAGAGGCCGCAACTTAAAAAAAAAAAATTAATCATCCTTCAGCTACATTAGGTGAATGATTGAATTTTTTAATTATTAAAATTGATTAATATTGGCAACGACAATTCCATTGGACTTCTCTTTTGAGAAATGATGAGTTGTTATCGATGTACGAGTCATTGATGGTGAATTAGTCCTCAAGTGGGAGATTGTTTATGATGCTTAATTAATTAAGGATTGTTTAGAAATTTATGTTTGAATTGGAATCCTAATTATTGTCAAGTTAAGAAGTCTAATTCTTGTTCAATTCTGATAAGGAATCGGTATCCTTGTAAGATATATTTTGCCCCAATTTATCTTATAAATAGGGGGTGTGATTAGACTTTATATCATCCATCAAATAGAGAGAGAGTGGGGTTGGAGAAGATAGAAGTGCAATTTTATCTTGTAAATTTGTTTTACCACAGTTAATTACTGTAGCGGCGGGAGAGGACGTAGTCTTATATTGAGACAAACCTCTATAAGTTTTGTGTATTCTTAATTATTTATTATTTATTTCTTCGAATTGATTACTTTCAATGAAATAGAATTAGGGTTTCTAATTCTCAACACTCCTTTCATTTGAATCTTAGTTAGTGGATTCTCGATCAATTTCACTAGTTAAGTGGATTGCTCTTCCTTAATTAATTAGGATTGCCCGAGCTAATCCAAACCTAAGGATTGACAACATTTGAAGGTCAAAACTCATGCGTTGAGCTACTTTTTTTAGATAAAAGTTCTACAGGGTGCTTGGGGAGTGAGCTAGGGGTGTGCGTTAGGGCAAAACAAGGGAATGAAAGGCATCTTTGCAATGGATGATCTTTACCCTCCTTATAATATTGACTTTGTTCTTTTATGGAGCCTTTAATCTTGCTTGGTCTTCAGAGTTTTTAGCAATTTTGATTGCTTTGACCACTTTACACAGAATCGAAAGGTTATCGAGTAACAAAACAATAAATATAAAATAGTTTTGTTACGGGCCTGTATCAGACCCGCCACCTCACCCGCCACGTGTTAGTAGAGGTGGTCCACACCACGTCACGTGTCGACCGAAGTGATTACACATGGGACGAGCTGATTGTACATGCCGAAATGATTACGTGATGAACAAACTGAAAACGTGTCAGTGAATGAACCGGACTCATCTGCAATTATACCGTGGATGCAAAGGCCCGCACTCCGCTTCTGCAACGCTGCAATGCCTCTCCTGCCTCGCCTCGCCCATCAAAGATCTTTCCAAAGTCAAATCCCTGACTGATGGGACGTGTAGCAGGACCTAAACTGTTAATTCAGCTGCCTTTGTCAGAGATATTCAATGTCAGCCAACCTATGAAGGGACGAATTGACACCTATGATGGGATGAGCCTTTAGAATCCGGTAACACGTGTCTCCTCATCCGACGACTCTCCTCTTCCCATCCTTAGTATAAATATTCCCTACTTGTGCCAGAAGAAGGATTCGATGGAAGATTTTCTCCCACTACATTGTAACTTTGAGTATCATCCTCTCCCTTAAATATTGGCACTGTTATCACTATACACTTTATCAACCACTTCTTGGCGAGTGTTTTACCGCCGGCGAACCCTTTTTCCGGTCGAACTATAAACTGACTTGACGTCGGAGTGCTCGCGGTCGCTCCCAAACCCTCCGGGAAAGGCCACGGGTGACGACTCGAAAACTTATTCTGTTGCCCACGTGTCGGAACCATTTTTCGAGGTCAACAGATTGACGTCGTCTATGGAAAACTTACTTTAACCACGAGTCTTCCCACCAAAAAGCCGTTAGAATATTCGGTTGATAGTCTCCCTTGAAAAAGTGATTGGTTCCTGAAAAAGGATCATGCATACGTTAAGCCTTGCTGTACTTGCCACTTTGGATCTTGAGTTCCGGCGATGAAGAGGCGAATGCAAAGAGAGAAAGGAATGTCTCTGAAGAAAAGGTTATCCGAACAAATGTTACGCAGCAACGGCCTCACCATCGCTATCGTAGAAGTGGTAGAATTGCTGCGTGTTTAACTGCCGAAGTGGCCTACATGGCTCCCAATATGAGGGCCATTGCAGCCCAGAATGCAGCTATGCAGGAGCTCCTCATGTAGGTACAAAATCAGGGCAGTTTTCGAGCCCCACAAAGTCCCCAACTCATAGGAGAACTGAGACGAAATCTGGTAGGAGGACTCACCCGAGTCCCCAGGAAGAAGCCCCTATTGAAAGAGAAGTAGGAATGGATACTTCCAATTATACTGTCGCTCCGACTGACAAGCCCCAGTAGGGGAATATAATTTCCCTCCAGAGTATGAAGAGCAATCCCAAAGGTCTGCCAGTATTTTCGATTGAATCAGGCGGGCACCTAGAATAGGAACCAGCCCCCGCACCAAATGGCTCGTCAAAAGGGACGTGCACAAAGCCAGAAGGTTCAAGCCCCTCCACCTAGAAATAAGAGGGAGAGGCAAAGCCTAGTGGATTGGGGGAACAGAGCTAAAACTACCTAGCATCCACCTCGCCCACCAGTAGATGGGAATGATTCTGACGAGCCACATAGGTCGTATGAACTGGATGATGACGATGAAAACTTGCCCTTCTCCAGGGAACTTCACACCTCCCTGATGCCCCAAAAATTTGTCCCTTCTAAGATTCCCAAATACGAAGGAAAGGGTGACCTAGAGAAATATCTCAACAAGTATAAAATGCAAATGAGCCCTTGAGGTGCCTCGCCAGCTTTAAAATGCAGGGCATTCCATCTAACTCTCAGTGGAGCTGCTGAAGTGTTGTACAATAGATTAGTACCACTTAGCATAAGAAGTTGGCCAGACCTGAAAAAGGCATTCCTAAACCAGTATTTTTCGAGAAAAAAGGGAGAGGCATCAATTCAACGTTTGCAAGACATGAGACAAGCAGCGGGGGAGACTCTAAAGAGCTACCTTGCCCACTTCACTGACGAGATAACTTATTGTGAGCAAGTTACAGACAAAGAGGCCCTTTCAGCCCTGAAAGAAGGGCTAAACATGAACACCTTGTTTTGGAAAGATGTCCGAAGCAAGAACCCTTTGACATATGACGGACTAGTGGAAATGATGAAAGTTGAGATTGTTAATGAAGAAATGATTGACCAGCTGCCCAAAGACTCCCACCACCTTAGAGGCAGATAAGCAGAGGTCATACCTCTTAAATAGTAAGCCAACAATGGACTTAGGCCGGACACGATGTGGCTCCCACTTAGGGACAAGCCCTAGCTACCGCCACACTGAATGCAGTACTTACTTTGGCTTATGAAAATGTTGGGCCAAACACAAACAACCCAGCTAGAAACGCTGGACGACCCTCAACCTCTAGAAATAGGGAAAGAGGCCGAAGGCCTAGAGATAGGTCCCAAGAGATGCAACCCTGTTGCACTATCCATCGTTACTATGGTCATGACACAAGCAAATGCAGATAGGCGAATAGACCAGCAAGCAACCTTCGTAATGCCAGAGAGAACCACTATCAAGGTAACAATCCGAGGCGCAGCTTCCCAAGACGACACTCTCCCCACCACAACAGAAATGATGATAGGAAGAGGCCCCGAAACGGACAACGCCCTAGGAGAGAAGCCGCCTCGAATGAACAACAACCCATTCGTGAAATTGACACCATCATTGGAGGACCCCATGTAGGAGGTGAATCAAAAAATGCACAAAGGAATTACACTAGGGAAGCGAGAGCTCCACCAATGGCTAGCTACATAGTAAGCCAATCACAAAGTGGAAGGGCTGTAGAGCCTATTACATTCACTCCGGAAGATGTGACAAATGTACACTTCCCAAACTGTGACGCTCTGGTAGTCAGAGCCGTGGTAGCCCGCAACGGGTTGAAATGCATGCTAGTGGATAATGGCAGTTCAGTCAACATCCTATTTGGTACAACTTTTGACAAAATGATAGTGGACCATGAATTGACACCAATGAGCTCGCCCATCTATGGATTCACTGGAGACAACATCATTCCCCGGGGTAAAATTACTTTGGCTGTGGAGATGGGGCCTTGTCCCAGGTGGCACACCACTTCATGGAATTTTTAGTTGTTGATCACCGATCCGCTTATCACGGAGTTCGGGGGAGACCCGCCGTGAAAGAGTTATGGGCAGTCACTTCCATCCACCACCTCTACATGAAATTTCCCATAGAACGAAGAATTGCCACTGTCCGAGGCGATCAGATAGGATCCAGGGAATGTTACCTTAATTCCCTAAGGAAGACAGAGTCATGAGTTAACGTGGTGC